GCTGGATTCAGCCTCTCAGGAAAGCTCTTGGAGATGGACACAGCTTTGAAAACTTTGCCTCTTCCACAGACTGGACGTTGAAATCTGGTCTGGAAATGGTTTGAAATTTTGGACTGTGATATCACCTGCGTTGCTTTCCACAAACACCTCAAACTGTTGAAGTTTTGTTTTGCTGTTTACTTGAATTTCACAAATATTGTTCATTCTTGTCTCCATCAACTTGTTTTGGATGTCTTGGATAGCATCCTGAAAAGGCACCTGCCCAGATGTGCTTTGATTGATAATAGAGTGAAGTTAATGGTCCGTTATGCAAACAAGAAAAAGTGGTGCCTGAAAAATATCCTGTACTGGGTTTATCCCTATTATCACCAGTAAAGGACACAATCACTTAGAGAAGCTTTAGAATTCCTGTTAATTTTATGGGAATGAATCCACTGGATCTCCTTGCCTGTCACCTGCACACGGGGTGGATCTGGAGGAAGTTCTAATCAGAGAGAAATCCAGGGTTAGGTTTGGCCAATATCTGCCTTCATCAACGAGCACAATTTGGCTCCCATGCTCAGCCACTTTATCTGACATTTCTTTAAACAAGCTAGAGGTACTCATTTTTACATAATAAATTATTAAACTCAGCAAACGATATAAATTTCTTTCTAGCCACAGGTTTTGTATGTTTAGCTTACAGTAATGAAGCAGTTTCTGTTGGTTAATGCTTTTGAATAACGATGGGAATATTTTGCATTTGTTTTGGTTGAAAGAGTATTTGAGTCAGCGTGGAGCAGATGGAGCCTCTGACTGTAAAGAGTAATTTTCAGTATGGCAGGACAGGAAGTGTGTGTTTATTTTAAACAATTTCTGAACAATAGGCCTAAACCATTGTTTTGCTCTTGTGCAGCACAGTGATTTGAGGAAAAAAATAGTTCATCTTTAAATATTCCATGAATAAATTTGCTTCCTAAGAGGCTAGGGGTAGCGGGAAATCCCAGAACCAAAAAACCCTACAAACTCTCCCCCCTCCCCAAAAAAAAAAACAAACCTAAAAATCCCCACGAGTGGGACACTGTCATGCTCTGAAATGAGAAGAACTGGGACATGAACCAAGAATTCCTGTCTGGGGGTGGGATTAGTTTTCTAATTAAAAAGTAAAACTGTTATAATTCAGCTGGCATCAATAACTAGAGAAATTATGGGATTGATTGAGGCAAACACTTCCTAAAGAACAAAACTGGTGACTGAGGATGGTGCTGCTTAGGACAGATTTGCTGGCGCTGCAGAACTGTGAATTCTCTCGGGGCAGCGTGGGGTTTTTGTGCTTCTATTTCTCTTCTTCTCTTGAGGGCACTCTGATTTACTTTTGTGATAAACCTGTAACAACAGGGGGATCACATTGCTGAAATGAGTTTGGCTGAGAGGGATACATAATGTCAGCCCAAAAATAGCGCTGGGGAAACACGTTTTGGCCACGGTTCAGCAGAAAGCAGCTCCTGTCAGCTCCGTGATGCTCTGCTTGCTTGGATGTGTCTTTCAGCTGCGCAGGATCACAGAACCTTTTGCTGGGCTGTCGTGGGTACTGTGCCTGTGGGATGGATCACTTCAATTCCCAATTATTCTCTGAAGTGCCCTTGAGATGGGAAAGTGAGTGATGGCTGAGTGTCCATCCAGTGCTGTCCCTGTGTCCTGGGTGAGGGAACAGCCTCCAACAGTCCCTGTTGTTGTGGGATGCTCAGCTGGTGTCTATTCTGAGCCATCTGGCCACAGAAAGTACCTTCTGACCTGTCAGCTCAGAGCAAGGGAGAAGGAAATAGGGAGAAATTGGGATGCTGGATAACGTATTCCTGCCTTATCCATATTCCCAGTGGGTGGCTGGTGGGGTCCTGTGCTGTCTTAAAAACCACTTCCTAAGAATGCAGAGCCTTTATCTGCAACACGTAGCCACTGCCATATGGTGCAGACGTTTTCAGTACTTGAACCTGCACTGAAGTTCCTGAAGCTGTGAAAAAATTATGGAAATATCTGTTTCTGTCTGGGCTTCAGGTAGCAGTGACTGTGGGATTTCATTTATGTATTTTCGAAAAGTAAAAATGAAATCCCAAAGTAAACATTGCAGCAGAAATAGTCTGGTCTTGTTTTATCTCCACCAGGATATTGGGAAAGCATTGTTCTGCAAATGCATTGTGAGCTAGAAAATTTTCCTGTGAACCGGGCTGTGTTTGTGCCAGTGCTCCAAATCAGCCTTGCCAGAGGAGATATCAGACAATCCTCCTGTTTTCTTCCTCGCTCTTGCTGAAGCACCAAACCATATGGCAAATTAAGCCTGATTTTTATTAAACTTTTCATTGTACTGAGCTCCGTGTGAACTGGGAAATGCACTTTCTTTGAACTATGCAGCCATTATATAAGCATCTTAATTAGGAGATGGTAATGTTCTCGCTGACATTCCTGGGAGTTCGCGGCTCCCTCTTGTGGCTAATTAAGCTTTTCTAAGGAACCTTCTGAAAATGACTTTTGTGAGCCGCCCACAGCTCCTGGGCAAACGCTGCCGAGCTGGGCTGGGCTCTGTGTCACAAAACCAGGCTGAAGGTGCTGTGCAGTACCTCCAGGCACGGACAGGTAAATGGATGAAAGGAAAAGCTCTGCTCACTGCAAATGTGACAGCTCGCTGAGGTCTTCAAAAAGCTGAGTGAGCTCATCCAGTCATTTAGAAAACCTCTGCTCTCTGGTCACTCTGTTCCTCCCGTGCTTTAGATGGTGAAGAAGGGTTTGCAGCTGGAGTTGGGACGAGATATGGGGTGTGCCAGCTCCAAGGAGCACAGACCTTTCAGGCACCACGTTGGGATGTCTCACCATCAAATTCAAGGTGAAGATCTTTGCCAGATTTGATGTTGAGAACAAATTTTCCCACTGGTTGGGATTGCAGGGACCCCTATTACTACTATTACTACTATTGCTACTGTTACTACTATTACTATTATTATTATCATTATCATAATCATTATTACATTCCTTTCTATCTAGTGTGGAGAAAAATTTCCATATGAATATCTGGGGTTTTTTTATAAATTCCTTTTCAAATCCCAATATTTGTTTTTCTTTCTTATTGTGGATTGTTACAACTGGGGCATTGTGTTTATACTACATACTAAATTTGTCATAAACAGGTAATGTTTGGTGGCTCTGGTGAAAATGGCTGCAGTATAAACACTTCGGAGTCAGACTTTTGCACTTGCCTCCTAATAAGTCTCAGACATCAGGGCAGAAAAGAATCAATTCATCTTTTCCCTACAAAAGTGAGAAATGGTCATGACATTGCAAAATCTCAAGCATAGCTTTATGTTAAGAAAAGCTTGTATTTTTAGGCTTGATGTAAAAATACCAGAAAGTGGTCCAAAAATGACCTGAACAGCAGGTAACTTTTCAGTAGGAGCCATTAAGATTGAGTTTCATCACCAAACTAGAAGTCTCAAAGTGACTTTGCCCCTTTGTCACCTGCAGTGTTGTCTGCCTCTGTGTTTTGGCATGACTTAAAAATACACAGGAAGAAAACTTCAACCATTAGTGTCTCTGAGTGTTGGAAGGAGGGAGAAAAAAAGAAGTGAAACAGGTTTTTACTCTGAAATGTCTCCCTTCCCCAAAGGGTTTGGAAAATAAAACTTTATCTGTGAAAATGCTGATTTCCTATTTCATAACTCTTGGCAATTTTTTCTCAATTAAAATAAAGGAATAATGATTATGGAGTTAAGTCAAAATCTCACTGCCCAGTAATCTGCAAGCCAGCATTGCTCAACCCACAGCAATAGGGCAGCAAACATTTATTTCCTCAGGGACGTTATTAAACACCCTGCATATTTATTATCTCAGAATTGGAGAAGGTCCAGATTTCTAAGGCCACTTTCTCCCTTCCTCTTCCTGAGCTGTAATTCAGACCAGAATGTAAATTTTTGACTTAATGTTTCTGCGGAAATCAGCAATATGAAGCTGCTAGAAACAAAAGAAGGCTGAACAGCAGAGGGAAGAAATGGCTTGGCAAGATTGTCAGCCTTAAAGGGCAAGATTAATTTATAATCCCTCAGATTCTGGTGTACAAATACAAGTTTGCAAAGTGTGTAGCTTATAATTGACATTGTGTGGTTCTGCGGGTTGGTAAATGTTACTGTTGGTAATGAAATCGGATTTTTAGAGATTTTGTTCTCATGGTGAAATAAGGTGATAGTAACAAGGAGTCACCATACACTCATGGACATGTGTATACATATAAATAGGAATTTGAGAAGTGGACTAATTCCAACTGTGTGACTCAGGAGTATTCTGGGCAGGATATTCTGATATTTTCATGCAGAGACTTTCCCCTTGTTTTAAAATCCTGGGAAAGGAAGGGTTTGAAAGAGAACTGGGGGGGATAAAAAGCCCAACCTGAAAGTAGCGTGTAATGACTTCACAATGACTAATAAAATATTGTGTGATGGCTGTCTGGTATGGTAAGGGTTGTTGTGAAATAAAAGTGCTTCTTGGCAATCAATACAATTTTTTTTTTTTTTGCAAGTTTGTGACTAATAAAATATTGTGTGATGGCTGTCTGGTATGGTAAGGGTTGTTGTGAAATAAGAGTGCTTCTTGGCAATCAATACAAATTTTTTTTTTTTTTTTTGCAAGTTTGTAGCTGTTCTATCAATTTAACTAAAAAGAAGAAATAACATTAAATGAAATGTCAAGTTCTAGGCATAGAGTGAATTCAGTGATGGAATAACAGAAACTTTAAGTAGTGAAATTGAAGACACTAAAGATAAGACAGGAACTGGCCAAGAACATGAGTAGCTTTTCCAGGGTTTAACACAAAAATTGCACAGTGTCTTGTGAATGATTGAAATCATATTTTATCGTTACATTTTATTGGCAGGGAACACAGCTCAGCATTAGTTGAAAGGCTGAAATGACTTATGTGGTTTTAGGATGAGTTTAAAAGATTTTACAACGTGGCCCATCCCTTGTTTCCTGCCATGCAGGTCATCAGAAGCGAAGGGACAGAGGGAGTAAAGTTCCGGCTCTCTGGGAAGGGAGTAGATCAAGACCCAAAAGGAATTTTTAGAATCAATGAGATGAACGGGGACGTCTCGGTGACCCGAACCCTTGATCGAGAAGCAATTGCCAATTACGAGGTGAGTACCCAGAGATAACATCTCTGCCTCTGTGTTGATAGCATGCATTTTCTGAATGTGCATTTGCTCCTGAAAGATCTGCAGTTAAATTGAAGACTCAGTTGCAGCCACTGTGCTATGAAATTTCAAGAACCGTAGGAAATGGTAAATGCGTTTGTTTTTCACGCAATTGAAATTTGTCTGCTTTCTGCATGGACTTCTTGTCATTTATCTTCAGTGGAAATGCTGTCTGAATGTTGTGTATGCATTTGATTTCTGAATAGAAAATTTTGTTTGGACAAAGGAAGATCTTTTGGGGAAGTTGTTACTATGGTACTACAGAATTATACATTTTTATTGTCAAATGGTCAGTGGAAACCACCATTGAACTCCATTTTTAGTAATGGGTATCTTTAATAGAGACAATGAAGATTCTCATGATATGAAAATGTTAAATATGAAATGTGCATCAATTACAAAGTTCTTACCACAGATTCTTTTCCTTGTCAATAAAGACGTTTCTCTTCATTGAATACCCAAAAAATGATCTCCAAACCTGCAAAACAGCTGCCCTACCTTGTCCCAAAATGCATAAAATAAACAGAGGACCTGTCAAATCACGTTTTCCATCCAGCTCCGGGAATGTGCACTCACAGAATTTGTCCCTGGCCATGCTGATCCAGAGGAGCAGCAGAATTCCAAGTGCTCAGTGGTTGGTGCATGCTGCCTTTTGTGTCCTCCCACAGGGATTGTCTCCACCTCTGGCAGAGGGAGAACAAGGTGCCCTCCCTGCTGTGGGACACAGGCTTGGGGACAGTCCTGGCTGCCTTCCCTGACCCCTCATTTTCATCTCCTGCATGTAATAATCACCACTTCTACCTCCAGTGCTGTTTCCTTCCTCCTCTGGGAGAGTTTCCCAGTTTGGTGATGGGTCCTACTGCTCAACCAGCACTGCTAAAATTTACCATATGCTGGTTTTCAACACGTAAACATCTCCTTCGTATCTGGGTCTGCAGTGAAATGTGTGTTAAGCACTTGCACAGGATTTATGGGAGTTGCTGACGTCCTCCTTGCAAGAAAAACATTGCAGTTTCTCTTTTTAACGCTGTTCCTTGTCTTCATTTGCCAGCTGTTTCTTATTTTATCAGTGGATTTCCACCTTCATGCGTTGAGTATAAACCATGAATATTTTTTTCTCCTGGAAAATGATAGTAGACTTTTCAACTTAATGCAGCAAACCACAAATGGCCCTCATATCTGATCTGGCGAAAGACACAGTTAAATTAAGACAAACCCATTTCCCTGGAGGAGGCTCTTTGAAGTTGTGCACAAAAAATGTCATACAGCAGGTGAGCAATGTGAATGAGAGGCTGTGGTGCTTCCTGAGCTGTTACCCAGCACTCTGCTCAGCAGCTCACCCCCATCCTGCAGCAAAAAAATGGGGTTGGAATGTTCTGAAGGAGAATCCTAACTTGATTAGTTGTCTCGAATTCAGCCCGTTATTTTCCAATGTCATGGTGTCAGGAAGACAACAGCATTTTCTCCCTGATTTCCTTGGCACACTGAAAGGTGAATAACCTGAAATATCCTTGAATTTCTCTCAAAAAAGTGTTTTCTGGTTTTGTTTGAGCTTCCCCCTGCCCAGTACTGTGGTTCTGAGAGGAAAAATTCAAAGCAAAACACAAATGAGTAAAGAAGAGATCATTGTGAATAAGTACAAAACCCATCAGAATATCAAGTGTGTAATCAGAGGTGGGGGAAGGATGAAAAGATAAAATCTGAGTACTTCAGCTACACCCAGGGATGCTCTGCCTGAGCACAGATTTATTTCCTGCACTTAGTGCATATGTGCTCTGGTTGTAAGAATTGAAAAATGTTAATAGGGCACAAACCAGAGCTTTGATGATCACAGTATTTGATAGAACTTTGCAGATTTTACTACCTCAGAATGTTTTAAATTAGCTAAGAATATTTAATCTGTTAAATTTTTTTTTTTTCACTGACTGTTTGAAAATTTGGGTTTGCTGCCCTCTTTCTCCTGGAGGAATGCTGAAAAACTTGTAGGGGTTCTCTGGATTCATAACTAGAGGACATGATTAAATAAGAGAATATTAAACTCTACACAGACAGCTTTGTTCATTGTTTTTGTTAGTCCCTTCTTTTCCTGTTTAAGTATTTTATTTCTAGTAAAAATTAGAAAATATTTCAAAATAGAGTGAAAACATCTGTCTGAGGATCAGGGCCTGCCAGTCTTCTCAGTGGAGCCCATTTGTGTGGAAGTTGTGTTTTCAGATGAGTTTAAAATAATTTATACTCAGATGAGTTTAAAATCTTTGGGTTTTAGCAAAGGCACTCAAGCTGGCAAGAGGAATGTAAGGCAGCTTGTATTAATGACACCACCCTCACCCTCTGAAATAAACTTATTAATTCACTTGGCTTATGAGTTTATTTCCTGTGAAACGTGGTGGTTTGCATTCTTAAAGCCCAAGGAATGCCAGCCAGCTTCAGTTTGAAGTGAAAGCTGCTTGTGAAGAGGAGCAGGAGGAGTCAGGGATGATGTTATGCCCAGCAAAGACAGACTGTGTTAGAAAACTGTGTAGCAACTCCTTTTTCCTCCTGGAGAGATTTGTTAAAGGGCATCCTGAAAGGAATTCTGCAGGTCAGAGCACGCCCATGGATTTACATGGAATGGTTTTACTTTGGGGCTTGCTGGAGCTTGTTGACAAAACTGCTAAATGATGCTCTGAAGAGGGGCTTAAGCAGGCTCTGGGCACGTTGTGGAATTGCTTCTGGGCTGGTGAGATAAGAAGGAGCCTAGAGCCCCTATTTAGTGGGAGCAAAAGGTGTTGCATTGTATAAATATGCTCTCAAGTATATTTGGTTTTCTCTCGAGATTTGAATAAATCAGACTAAGTCAGAAATTTCAGACAATGGCAAAGAGTTTATTTATTTGCTATTGGAAAGTGCAGATGTGGAAAAACAGATGAAGGACATTGGTGGGGAGATGAAAGATGGATTTTCTAACCCAAATCAGTGAGGTGCACACCATACAAAACCTGCCCATAATTTATAGAAATTCAGAGTCCATTTCAGACCCATAGTCTTTTCTGATTCCACCAGGGCAGAAATATTAGTGGCTTTTCAGTTCTTTCCTTGAGGAAAAAAAAAAAAAGAGATGTGATAACAGAGCAAAAGGATTGCAGTGAAGCTGGAAGGCTACTTGTGCTCAGTGTTGATAAAACCCCAATGAATTGGGAAACAAAGGGTCAAACAGAGGGCCAGTGAAAATAGAAGTCTGAAAACCAGTGATTATGGGGTAATCTGTTATTTAAAACCCCTGGGTTCATTTTCAAAACCTCACATTTACCTGGGTAATGTATTTGTAGGCAGAATGCAAGGAAAAGCAGGAAGAGTTGTAGTGGTTGATTGCCACTGCCAAGATGACAAAAAGTTTTGAAGTTTCAAGAACTTTGTTCTTTATTCCAAGTTAGGTGGGTCCAGAAGAACTGGCAAAAAGATTCCCCTATTTTTGTAGTGCTCATGCATGAGATTTGGGGTTGGGCTTTCCTTGGGTCCAGGACAGAGCCTCCAGTTGCAGCAGCTCGGTTCCCATCACTTCCCACTGCTCAGAATCCCTGCAGCAGTGAAATCCAGTCCTGCAGCCTCTAAAGCATCAGTGGCAAAGTGCCATTGGGGTGTTCCAGCTGGGACTGAAGCTTTTAAAGGGTGTTGCCATCGCTGAAAGGCAACAAATGTCTGTGGAGATGAAATAATCAGAAGGTGATCCTCTGCAAGCATGAAATGAAGTGGCTTGATAAAACTGTGTGCAAATTAGAGCTGTGACCAAATTTACCTAGGCAATTTGAACCAATAATGAAGGGTTAGTTTTAATTATTTTTTAAGTAAAGAGCTTTATTTGCTTTAAAAAAAATCCTTAACAATCAGAGGTGTGAAATCAGCCCTCAGCTTTTTTCATAATGGCAGATGACACTTCTGTGAAAGGATGCCTTGCAACTGGTAGTGACAGACTGAGATATTTAGAAAACTTATGTTAACAGGGCTGAAAAGCAAAGTGGGAGTGTGTAGTTCTATGAAGAGTTGTTTCTATATGTTGGCTGACATGTAGGCTGAGAGGAGGGTAACCATTTCAGACCCATCAACAGCTCTGTGCTGTGAACTGCCTCACTTTAGGGACTGAGTCATACTTTGAGGGTGAGGCTGAAGCCCTAATGGGTTCAATTTCCCTGTTTAATAAGGAACAAGCAATGGAAATGCTTCACAATGATGAGGAAAACTAGCTTGGTCAGGTGCTGAGGAGCATTTTGTGGGAAAGATTTGTGAGTGCTTTAATGCATTTTTGCAGATAAGGAAGTGTTACTATAGCAGAACCCTGGAAGTGAATGGCTGTAATTTATCCTGTGCAGGAGAAGGAATTTCTCGTCTGTGTAAGTCCATTTTAGTGCAGCCACATCCTTTTTGGGATGATTTATCATCCCCTGATGCTGAATCTCTGCTGATGCTGGCTGGAGATCTATGGACAGCACACAGAAACATGCTGCTCCTTCAAAAGGAAAATCGTGTGTTTGTATCTAACTTCAAGAAAAATGTAAAAATGCATTTTAATCCTGGTTATCTGCACAGGCAGATTTGTCTGGAGGGGAACTGATCTTCTCTGTTCTGAAACCAGCTGATGGGGAATGTCAGACCCCAGTCATCTCCTACTAATATCCCAAAAACAGGAAGGTATTCAGTCTTTCATGGCAAGAAGTTTGGTCTTATAGAGACGTGAATTGCAGTAAAATGTGCCTGATTTAATTAAAGAATCATTAATAGACAGACCAAACCTGTTAAAATACTGGTGATTTCAAATTGCATCTGTTACATAACAAATCATGGATTAATGGCAGAGTTCAAAGTTTCAGGGAGGAATCCTGACTATTTAGCAAGGGGAAATGAAAGAAAATTTTACTGCAAAAAGAAAAAAGGAGTTCTTGTGGAAGTATAAAATATAATTATTAATC